TAGACCCCATAAAATGTAGTGAAGAGGAGGAGGGAAATTGTCCTGTCCAAAAGTGCCTCTACCATCATAATTAAATTATGACCTGGTCACTGTTTATTTCAGTGAAACAGAATAAGGCCCTAGAGCAGCAAGTGTGCTTTATTGAAAGTGATATGCTTGCGGATATCCTGAAGTCGTGAAAGGCATTGTATAAATGGAACTTGCTTTACTGACATCTCTTCCATACAAAAATTGAAAGCATATATATTAGACCAGCTAGGTGTTCAACATATTATTTAGATTCAAGGGATTTTTGTGATTAATCAATTGGTTTACATCCAATCAAAATATCGTAATGTACTATCTTGCTCTATCACACTACTGATCTGTCATGAAGGTAAGATGTTTATGAAGCACAACTGTAAAGTGATCAAAAATGCACTGACCATATTCTATTTTGACGGTTTCTTTTAAAATAGTTATTACACTATAGTTGAGTTTACATGTTAATTCTTCCAAGAGGGCTGTGAAAAATAATATCCATGGAACTGGTTATGTCAACAAGTCACATTTCATTGGCTAGTATTTGGATGTCATTTACATAAACGTAAGTACATATAATCTCATTTCATGCACGTACATATAAAAATACATAACTTAAATATTCCTATATCTTTACACTAATTTATTTCTCCTAACTTTCTAATGCAGTTGCTAATCTGAAGTCGATTTTGAATTGATGCAAGAATTATTGAGGGAAAGAATTTCACATTTTTAATCCTTGGTTGAATGTTGCATGTTCCAACCTATCCTGGGTATATCCATGGAAAGCGGTCCCAACAATGTTGCTTCACTCTTCTGTATATTTAAGATACCTGCTAATGTTCAACTTAAGAACATTTTGCTGCATTTGCTAGTCAAAATAACAGTAAATCAAAGGAACTGAAGTGTGTAAATGAAGACAGGAACACAGGAAATGTCACAATAATATTTGAGAGTAAAGGTCATAACTAGGGCAAAGATGCGAAACTGCATTCACCATTATGCTACTTTCAAGGCTAGCGCTATCAGATTGTGAAATACAGACCAAAGACCTGGGTGTTTCTTAACATGTAGGCAACAGGCATGTATTCATAACCGAGTTGGAAATGGAGCAAAATTCAGGTAATATGCAAAATATACTGAATTTTATACCTGCAAACATCTATGTAATTAACAGTGCTTAATCTTTTCTGATGACTTGGCCCTTGCGAATCTTGGTGTGTATTTTCTTTTAAGATTGTGGAGTGGGTTACATTGCAGCATTTAATAAATGATGCAGAATTGGCTGATTGGAGTGAAGCCAAGGCTTGCTCTTTAGGAAAAATGTTGCAAATAGATTGATAAATATAAATTAAAAACAAGATGTTGGAAACACTCAGCAGGTCTGGCTTCATCTGGGGAGAGAAATAGTTGACATTTCAGGTCAATGACCTTTTCATCCGAATTAGAATAGGATTTAATCTGACCTTGTATTTCCTTAATGCAGAAAATTTGGCCCTTTCACTGCACACAGTAATTGCATGAAATATCCAATATAAATGGAAGTTGAGTATACTTTTGAGTTGATGTTCAGTTAAGTGCAGTTTTGTAATAGCAGCAATATCCCAGGAACCGCAATGGGATAAACAGTCAGCTACCTCTGTGTTTTTTAAATAATGGATGAAGGAAGAACAGCGTGGCCGGGACATTGGGTGAATTCTGCACCTCTTCAAAATGTGCAGTAAAATCTTTTACAATCCACCTGAGCAGTCGGAACAGGCAATCGTAGCTTGACATTTGAAACACAGTGGTACCTTCTTTAGCAGTCTTTATGTAAAGAGAAAAGAAAAACAATTTAAAATGCTTGAAACATTCTAAAAGATTGCTAAAAAGACACTTGATGTTGAAGCTTTTTCATCTGCAACTCAACAGAACTGATACCCAAGAAAATCAACATTAGAAAGGAAGCAACATTTTATACAGCATGAGAAGCAGGTGCTGATTCTTTGAGCAATGATTGCATGGAGATGCAACAGGAAGTGCTAACTGCTTTAATTAACTGACCTAATTAAAACCAGTTAGGCTGATTCTCATTGGTTAGTTGCCATTGGGATGAACAAGGATTGGAAATCTCCATAGCCCTTTAACTCTAGAGAAGACTCTGTGCGGTCATATTGTTTTTGCCTACAAAGAACAAGGCCCAGTATTTGGGGGAAAAAAAATGTAGTCTTCAGCGCACAAATGGATCACACTGCAAACCCAATTGATTGGTGTAATTCTTATCCCACTCTAGATTATTTAATAAGTGTCTAATAGCAGAGTCAAAGTCAAAAAGAGATTTAAAAACAAATGTGTTATCCTGCAGGACACTTGGTCATGTAGTGTGCAATCTGCATTTTGAGGATCCCAAGAACAGTACTGAATAACAAATAATCCGCATTTTGTTGCGAGGCGGATATTGGTAATCAGGAAATCTGTCTTCAGCTCTTGATCATATGATGGTATGCATCCACCTGATTGGGCAACCAGGACCTGGGTATGACCCTGCTACAAAACAGTGATGTCCTATTGTGTCAGCCTACATTGTGTTCAAATGTCCTGATATGGGACTTACACAGACTTCTGACTTTTAGTGGGCACTACAGTTGGGGATTATAGTTGCATGACAATTTGAAAACCCCAAAATGTGGAGTTATCATTTTTGAGAGAAAGCGGTAATTCACAGATGAATGTCCTTAAATAAATCTTTGCTAATTTCCTTGTGCCAATTATTGGCATTACAGTCCCTACCCTTAGAACATTTCTCAAGTACCCTGCATGTGTAATTAAGTTCCACCTATTAGTCATTTTTATTACATAAAGCATTTTGTTTGTAAATAAATTGAACCATTATAGAAAAGTTTTGACGATAGTCTGGAGGTTCAGTTAGTGTTGTTAATTCCGGTCCTCAAGTTTGACCAATTTTTCAGTAAAATGTTGTTGAATTTCATTTCACTTTTCCCAAAGGTCACTTGACGCATGTATTGAAGTTATATTAGATATACTTATGATGAGGCCAATTAAAGATCTTTGAAATCTATTTGTATTAATCTAAAATCTCAAGGCAGTTGTGTTGACAATAAGAACAGAGGATATTAGTGGTTTTTTTGCTCCTGCAGAATTGTGTTTGAAATCTTATTACATTGTTCATTTTCAGGTGGCAAAAATGTAAATATTAGAGTTAACTAATAGGAAAAGTGCTGTACTTAGCTGTAGTTGTGGGATTTGCTTCACCTATAATTGACAGTACGATACTCAACTGACTGCCTCACTCAAGTTTGACATTCTTAGTTCATAGTTCATTTACTACTACTTAGCAGTGCAAGTTGATTTAAGAAAACATAATTTTGATGCACTCCACAGTCGTCGCTCAAGAAGCTTGCATTGATGTCATGTTTTTCACACACTCTGGGTATCACAGAATGCTTTGCAGCTACTGAATTATTTATGAAATATAGGCAGCGTATTTCAGTAGGCTGAAGCAAAGGCAAATTTTACACAGGTCCTGCAGACTGCAAGAAGATACATGATGGCCTGATCTTTTAATGAATGGGGGGAGTAGTTTTTGGACTGGACAACAGGAGAGCTGCCCTACTTCTCTCTAGATAGTGCCGTAGGCTTCAGTTAAAAGACAACCTCTCAAAATGTAGCACTTCCACGGTGATGAACTGAAACGTCAGCCTACTTGTTGATGTTTTTAAAGCTTAAGCCTTTTTATTCCTAGAGATGCTACTGTGGTTCCAGCCTGACTAGTTAGAAAAGGCGCAGAGTTGTCACGTTTTAGTGCAACAAATCCCTGGGCTTAAAATTAAAGGGATGTTACTAAGCAACCAATATGAAGTTAACACTTGGTTCAGTATGTAACCATATGCCTTGAAGGTAGTGTCGGAGACAATGAAGGATGGGTGAACTGAGAGCATTCAGTGAAATATTAGCACCAAACGTTGACTTTTTAACTGAAGTAAAAATCAAATGCAATTGAGTTGGTCATGATTAAGAAACAAATTAAGCACTTTCTACTCCAGTAAAGAGTTTATTGACCAAATACTTTGTTCCTTTCAGTTTATGTAAGAATTTAGCAATTTGGTGAAAATTTGATAAGCAAACCAGCTTGCAACTTACTACTAGTAGGTACTACTGTACACATTTCTAAGTAATTAATCTTGTGTTCTTCCACGTGTTGAGCTTGAGCAGTTTTGAAGACTGCTATTTTGATACTTAGTGAATATTTGCACATTTTAATGAATTGATGTTGCTGAACTTAAATTTGCAGTGACTTATCATTTTTGTTGCTTTGTGCAATACTTTATTGCACATTCTGGTATAGATAAATTAGATAGTCTAAATATATTACTCTTTGCACTCTTGAAATGTGTAATGATCCTTTAGAAGCTATAACATGTGAATACTCCAGTTAGAAAAATGAGCATGCTGTCACACTATACTGCAGAAAGTATTAGCAGTACTTCCTGAAGCTGACTGCGTTTCCTTTCTATACACATTGCAACTATTTGTTTTCAGTGATAGGTATAAGTGGTAAAATACAAAGCTGGTGTTGAGAGAGGGATCAATTTTGCCTGCTAGTTTTTGCATCAACTAGTTACATGCAGTGGGAACCACTTGGGTTCTGTGGTAACTTGATGAAACAAACTACTTGAATGCAAATTCTAGTTAGTTGCAACATTAAACTGAGCAAATAAAATTTGTAAACACAATGCATGCTTTAAATGATTAACTACCAGTGATTTTCCCAATGGAATCAGCACATCCGCAGTTTTTGATTCCCAAACTTAAGTATTCTATTCAATAATGTATATGTTCGAAAATCTTTTGTTCACTAGTGGAATTGAATCATGTTTTTATAGCACCATTTCCAATAGTTTTGCATCCAGAAAATGATGTCAGTAATTTAATAGCATCTACTGCACTATTCTTCTCTCACTGAAAATATTTCTTTTCAGTGACTCCAAAGGACAAGGCAGCTGATTCCAAGCAGGCTGATTCTGAATCTCTCGACGAACAACCTCCTACAACTCTGCAGTCTGCTTCCTCAAAGCCATCAGCTACAGCGACTAAGCAGCCTGCTGGTTCAGTGGAACAACGTGTTGCACCTAAACGGTCTACTGCATCTCAACAAATTTCTTCTAGACAACAAACTGTATCTAAGCATCAAGCCTCATCAAAACATTCAATTACAACTAAACAACAGACTTCAACCAAACAAGGCAGCGCTGGGTCAGAATACCGAATACCATCTAAGCATTCTTCTGCACCCAAACACACTGTGTATTCATCCGAGCAGGCTCCAGCTAGAAAATCTGCCGATAAACAGCAAGTTCAACCTTCAGCACCGGCTACAAAAAACACCAGCCAGCTGTCTAACCCTCAGATTCGACATAACATCCGCCGGTCACTAAAGGAGATCCTTTGTAAAAGGTGAGGCACAGTTGATGCAAAGATGCTGATAAGAAAGAACCAGATGAAATATGTTGAATGTAGATGAATGTGACCATATTTTTGATGCAACAGCCATCCAAAAATTGTTGTTCTTTTCAATATCTAAAAGTTGTATGTGAAACACGTTGCAATTTTCATAGAGATAGTAGGAACTGCAGATGCTAGAGAATTTGAGATAACAAGGTGTAGAGTTGGATGAACACAGGCCAAGCAGCATCAGAGGAGCAGGATAGCTGACGTTTCGGGCCTAGACCCTTCTTCAGAAATGGGGGAGGGGAAGGGGATTCTAAAATAAATAGGGCGAAAGGGGGAGGCGGATAGAAGATGCATAAAGGAGAAGATAGGTGGAGAGGAGACAGACAGGTCAAGGAGGCGGGGGTGGAGCCAGTAAAGGTGAGGGTAGGTGGGGAGTTAGGGAGGGGATAGGTCAGTCCAGGGAGGATGGACAGGTCAAGGGGGCAAGATGAGGCTAATGTGGTTAGGAGATGGGGGTGGGGCTTGAGGTGGGAGGAAGGACAGGTTAGGGAGGCGGGGACAAGCTGGGCTGGTTTAGGGATGCGGTTGGGGGAGGGGAGATTTTGAAGCTTGTGAACTCCACATTGATGCCATTGGGAACAAGGAACACCTATGCTCGGTTCGCAACAAACAACTGTACCTCCCAGTCGCGAACCATTTCAACTCCCCCTCCCACTCCTTAGACGACCTGTCCATCCTGGGCCTCCTGCAGTGCCACAACGATGCCATCCGAAGGTTGCAGGAACAGCACCTCATATTTCACTTGGGAACCCTGCAGCCCCATGGTATCAATGTGGATTTCACAAGCTTCAAAATCTCCCCTCCCCCAACCACATCCCAAAACCAGCCCAGCTGGTCCCCGCCTCCCTAACCTGTCCTTCCTCCCACCTCAAGCCCCACCCCCATCTCATGCCTACTAACCTCATCCGGCCCCCTTGACCTGTCCATCCTCCCTGGACTGACCCATCCCCTCCCTAACTCCCCATCTACACTCACCTTTACTGGCTCCACCCCCGCCTCTTTGACCTGTCTGTCTCCTCTCCACCTATCTGCTCCTTTATCCATCTTCTATCCGTCTCTCCCTATTTATTTCAGAATCCCCTTCCCCTCCCCCATTTCTGAAGAAGGGTCTAGGCCCGAAACATCAGCTTTCCTGCTCCTCTGATGCTGCTTGGCCTGCTGCGTTCATCCAGCTCTACACCTGGTTATCTGCAATTTTGATAGGTTCTTTTTCACAACAAAAAGAGGGCTGAATAACATGTTGATCATTGGCTCTAAAGTAATTTGCCATGTTTGCAAAGGTTCAAAGTGCTGGGGGAAATTAAAAAGCAAGAAGCCCCTAACTGAATATTGAGAGTTTTTGACAATTTGACTCTGGCAAAAAAAAATGGTTATGCAAGAAATTATGGATTTACAATCTATGCAGTTTTGTTGTTTAACATATACTTCAGTATTGAGTGTTCAAATTAAAAACAGTGCATTTGTCTCTACAGTTTTGCTTACTTAGGCCCCTAAATAAAGGAAGTGCTAATTCTTATATTTGCCACTTAGACCTAAGGTACACATCTATGTTTACAGTTGAATTTAATCCAATTTATGCATTGTCAGAATTGTGCCAGAATGACTTTTGTTAAGCATGTCAGTCTTGTCAGATATGTTGGTTATTTGCAATATCTTGTTTCCCATGTTTTTGTGATCAGTTCACTTTAATACGTTAGGCCTCTGAATGAACCTTGACATCCTGAGGACGGAAAATAATGCCTTTGAATAGCATAACACAGAACGATACTATTGTGCCCATCATGTCTGTGTTGGCTGTTTTGAGGGATCTGTCCAATTAGTTTCATTCTTTACTTCTTTTTTCATAGCCCTGCACATTTTTAACTTCAGATACATATCCTATTTCTTTTTGAAACTTAGCAAATTTAGGAATATCATAGAATATTACTGTACAGAAGAGGCCATTTGGCTCATCAAGTCTGTGCTGCCAAAAATATACTACCTGTGTTCGTCCCACTTTCCCGCACTAGGCCCGTAGCCTTGAATGTTATGATGCCTCACCTGCTCATCCGAGTATTTGTAAAAGTTGAGGTTTCCCACCTCAACAGCCCTTCTAAGCAATACATTCCAGATTCCACATCCCCCAACTCTCTGGGTGTAAATGTTTTCAAGTTGTCTCTAAACCTCCTGCTTGTCACATCAAAATTATGCCCCTTGCTCTTCATGCTTCAACTAAAGGGAACAGCTGCTTTCTTTTCGTCCTACTTACGCCCATTTTATATACCCTATCCGGTCCCCCTCAATTGTTTCTGCTGTAAAGAAAGCAGCCCGAACATGTCCTGTCTCTCCAAAGCTGAAATGGTCTTACCCAGACAATATCTTGTTAAATCTCCATTGCACTGGAGGGAGTCCAATCACATCAATCCTATAGTGTGGTGACCAGAACTGCACGCAATACTCCGACTGTAGCCTAACCAAAGTTCTCTACACTCCAACATGATCTCCCTACTCTTATAATTTATGCCACGACTGACCAAGGCAAGGGTCTAGTATGCCGCCTTAGTACCTCATTAACTTATCCTGAAACCTTCAGGGATCTGTGGACCAGCACTCCAGATCCCTCTGTTCTTCTGAGCTTCCTAGTGTTTGCCATTCACCAACTACTCCTTTATCTTGTCCTTCTTCTAAAGTGCATCTCCTCGCATTTCAGAGTTAAATTCTGCATGTCACTGATCTGCCCATCTGACCAATTCGTTTATATCTTTCTGTAACCTAACATCTTCCTCCTCGATGTCAATCACACAGCCAATTATTGTGTAATCTGTAAATTTACTTATCCCTCCCACGTTCTCATCCACATTGATGAAGACTATCACAGACAGTTACGGATTCAGCACTGATCCCTATGGTATGCCACTGCATACCAGACTCCAGTCACACACAAATCGTTCAGCCACCACGCTCTGTCTGCTGTCACTGAGTCAATTTTGTATCCATCTTGCCAAGTTATTCTGGATCCCATGTGCTTTTACTTTTTATCAGTTTCCCATGTGGGGCCTTGTCAAAACTGCATCAGTATAAACTATACCAACTGCCTTACTATCAACTAAACATTTGGTCACATCCTCAAAAAATGCCTTCGCTGTTTTCTCCAATACTTTCTAGTTCATAACTGACTCCATGTTATCATTATTTTTGCCAGTTAACCTGAAATCTGGTCCTGTGCCATCCAAAAACAGTTTCATATATCTGAAAATCTCCATCTAATCTCCCTTTGATCTTAAAACAAAGCACTAAATAAAATAAAGTATTGCAGATGCTGGAGATAGTCATACAGCATGGCAACAGACCACAGCATGGCAACAGACCCTTCAGTCCAACTAGTCCAAACCAACCATGTTCTCAAACTAAACTAGTTCCAGCTGTCAGCATTTGGCCCATATCCCTCTAAACCTCTCCTATTCACGTACTAATCCAAATGGTTTTTAAATGTTGTAACTACCTGCATCCACCATTTCCTTTGGCAGTTTATTCCACGCAAACCAAATTTCTCCTCTGACCTTAAAAATATGACCCCTAGTTTTGAAATCCCCCACCTTAAGTGAATAGCAAAGGTCTTTTTCCCTATCTAGCCGCCTCACAAATTCATAAATCTCTGTAAGGCACCCCGCAATATCCTACGCTCCAGTGAAAAAAGTCCCAGCCTACTCAGGCTGTCCCTATAACTCAAACCCTCCATTCCCAGCAACATCTGGTAAATCTTTTCTGAACCCTGTCCAGTTTAATAATATCCTGCCTATAACAGGGTGACCAAAACTGCACACAGTACTCCAGAAGAGGTCTCACCAACATACTGTATGACCTCAACATCTGAAACAAAAACAGAAGTTGCTGGCGAAACTCTGGTCTAGCAGCATTTGTGGAAAGAAAACGTTTTGAGTTTGGTGGCTTCTCCGGAACACTGGACCCTCAGTGTTAACTATGCTTTCTCCCCACAGATGCTGCTAGACCTGCAGAGTTTCACCAGCATTTTCAATTCTTCTTCCTTTGACCTTCTCTGTTTTATGGCAAGATCACCTGTTTACCTCATCTCTCTGTGTAACTGAAGTCTTTCACCCCTTCCTGGTAAATCTCCACAAAGACTTTGTCACCCTCCAAGACTTTGATACCTTGTTTAAAGTCCAAAATTGTCCGCAGTATACCAGATGCAGCTAACTAGTGTTCTGAAATGGTTTAGCTTATCTTTCCTGCTTTTGTGCTCTTGTGCTTCAGTTTTTATAAACCAGTCATCTTGTGAATCTTTTAACAGACATCCTCGACTTGACCAATCACATTGAAAGACTTTCATATGCACGCTTCCAGGTCTTCCTGTTCCTTCGGTTCCTTTAAAATTTTACGATCTAGTTTGTTGCAGTTCATTCTTTCTGTTAATAAATATCCATTTACTGTGACGAATTTCATCTGCTGCACTTCTGTTCATTTCACCAGTCTGTATCTTCCTAAAGTCCATGATTATTCTCATTTATTTACTATATTTCTAGGTTTTCTGGCATCTGCATACTAATTAAATGTGTATGTGATTAAAGATCACTATATATGTTGAGGTGCATTGTCCTTGCATGGTCATTTGGAAGGATAAGCAATGCAAAGCTTGAGTACCTTGGGTTGATTATATTGAAAATAGCCCAATGATTGTACAAAAACAAATTGCTGGTGAAACCCAGGTCTGGCAGCATCTGTGGAAAGAAATCAGAGTTAACATTTTAGGTCCAGTGACCCTCCTTCAAAACTGATGGTAGCTAGGAAGAAGTTTTTTAATACAGAAGATAGGGTGAGGATAAGAAGTAAACAAAAGCTGGAGATAGAGTCCAAAGAGAGTGAAAAACAGTTGGACAGACAAAGGAGTGGATAACAGTCAGCCTAGGAGAATGAATAGCTGCTAATGGGGGCTATTAGTGGCTAACAATGAGTTGTTTGTAAAGCAGACTGTGTAATAACAAGGCTTGGTATGTGGGGGTGGGGGAAAGCGTGGAGAAGGTGCTCAAGCCCTTTAAATTGTTGCATTTACTATTGAATTCAGAAGGCGATAGAGTTCCCAAGCAGAAAATGAGGTGCAGTTCTTATCGCCTTTTGAGCTTCGCTGGAGCACTGCAGCAAGCCTGAGATGGAGATGTTGGCCAGGGAACAAGGTGGTGTTAAAGTGCAAGCAACGGGGAGCCCAGGGTGTCTTTGTGTAGGTGTTCTGCAAAGTGTAAAAATCACCCAGTCTATGCTTCATTTCCCCAACGCAGAGGAGACCACATTTGTAAGCAGCAAATGCAGTAGATTAGATTGAGTGAAGTGTAAGTAAAGTGTTGCTTCACCTGTTTTGGGCCTTTGAAACTAAAGAAAGAAGTAGTAAACGGGCAGGTGTTAGGTATTTCAAGTTTCGAGTCCAGTGACTCTTCATTAGAACTGCTGTGTTCTCAGAAATGCATATGGTGGAGACAACATTGAGTTCACTTATATCCGGAACGGGTAAGGAATAAAATTAATTGAGATTTTGAAGTGCAATGGGTGTCAAACAGTCACTTCACAACTAGCCAACAGAAGAGTCAAGGGGAACACTTAGAAGATGATTTTTAATTCAACATTTAAATAAATACAGAACAGCATTGATCAGATAAACACAAGCTAAATTCAGCTATTTCTATGAACTAATGAAGGCCTGGGCAGTTGATAAGAGATTGCGGTTTAAAGTGTTTCAGGAGCTGTCTAAAATTTACTGAACCATTTTGTGTAGTTTTTTTATTCTGTCCAGTAAGTTGAGTCTCAGCAGTAACTTCCAAATGCCTTGTGCGCGTAGAATCCTCAACTTTTCACAGGCGGAGGTGTTTACGTGTGTCGTTAGGGCAATGGCTATATATATTTGTGCTTCCATGACAGGGTGAATGACTGTGATGACCTTGATGTAACTGAAGATGCAATTGGAAAAATAGCAGTGAACATTGAGAAGGAGCTCTTCACCCTGTTCCAAGATACTCACAGCAAGTACAAGAGCAGATACAGGAGTATTATGTTTAATTTGAAGAACCCTAGGAACCAGGTACCTTTTTATGCTTCTACCTCCCAATGTTCAAACTTCTAACCACATCGTTTGATCTAATGCATTATATTTTTCCTGTGTTCAGTTATATAATGCTGTTGCTATTTTTCACTGAATCTATATGGTACATATCAAATCGTCGGCCCTAGTCATTTGTTTTTAACTTGTTTGCTTTTCTCTTGTTCTGTTTAATAAAATGGAATGAATTTGCTTTGTAGGGTCTCTTCCGACGTGTTGTACGAGAAGAGATTGTTCCGTTCCACCTGGTACGTATGAGTCCTGAAGAAATAGAATCGAAGGAACTGGCAGTTTGGGAAGAGAGAGAGAGCAGATCTGTAAGTATCGCATGTGAGCTAAAGTTTAAACTAAGTTCCCTGCCCGAGGATATTCTTAATTTATTCAGAACGGTTAAAGGGAGATCGTAATGCTGGGGTAAGTACAATTAAAAATACGTGGTTACATATCTTGCCATATTTGTGAATTTATTTCTAGTATAATATCATTTAAATAATCCCAGTGCTGCCATGCTTTGGTCCATTCATTCTAGTTGGCAAGTCGCTCTATGTTTGTCTCCTCTGATGCTACCTTATTTTGATATTTGTATATCTGTGTATTAAATGTCATCAGCTTCATTTTGCATGGGAAAACTCCACTCTGTTCCCTGCACAATGTTGAGGTCAGGTAGCACAAATGTCAGATATATACCCTCGAGTTTGGAAGGTTGAGGGTTGATCTATTTGAGATTTCTAAATTAAGAAAAGGATCCAATGCAGTAGCCAGAGTGTGAAATGCAGTAAAAAGGTGCAGTGGCAAAGATAATTAATCTTATTTAGGAAAAGTATCAGGAAACATGTAATTTTTTTTATTCATTCATGGGATGAGAGCATTGCTGGCTAGGCCAGCATTTATTGCTCATCCCTAATTGCCCAGAGGGCAGTTGAGAGTCAACCACGTTCCTGTGGTTCTGGAGTCATGTAGGCCAGACCAGGTAAGAATGGCAGTTTCCTTCCCTAAAGGACATTAGTGAACTAGGCGGGTTTTTCCCAGCAGTCGACAATGGATTCATGATCATCATTAGATTCTTAATTCCAGATATTTTATTGAATTCAAATCCCACCATCTGCCATGGCGTGATTCGAACCCGGATCCCCAGAACGTTATCTGGGTCTCTGGATTAACAGTCCAGCGATAATACCACTAGACCGTTGCCTCCCCTAACAAAGGGAAATGGGAATGGGAGATTTTTTTGTATTTTATCTGGTATGCCATATCAAAACTAGACCAAAATAAAAGATGTTTTCATTTTCTAAGGAAAGTAAGATGGAGATTAGAAAGTACAGTCCTGATGTGAAAAAAGAACAAATCTGGGATTAAAAAGTAAAATTTTATAAAAATGATAGGGCTAAAGGAGATCTTTTTTTAAAAGTATGTGACAGGCTTTTTAAAATAGTTGAATAGCTTAGGCTGGAGTTTGAAGGTCAATGAAGTATTGAGACTGTATCAACACACATGATATCAATTTCAACTGTATTAGTTACACTTACACAGTGAAATAAATTAAGCATAACTACATGTTATTACATGACTAGATTATGAAGGAATTTGCTGTATTTGATCTTCATATTGCATTTGTGACATCAAGACGCTACTCGACTGAAACTGATATATAGTGTAGGACAGTGACTACAGGTGTAATTCATTTCCCATTTTAGACTCACATGGAATGCATAATTTTGCATATTAAAATGTTATGTTCTTAAAAGTGGAATTACAAAATTACAGCATTTAGGAAGCAAATGTGCAGCTGGATAGAACATTGGACTTTCTCTGCAGAACAGGTTGAGGAGCTAGAGCAGCAAAACCAAAGTACCAACACTCCTGCACTGGTGAAAGAGTGTAATCATTGTGTGTCTTGTTTGTGTGGTCAGTCAGCATCGTGAATGTGGGCAGGAACTTAGGACTGGATATTTGATACTGAGCAGAAAGGTTTTGTAGCTAATGTTACCACAGATGTGGTTTTCAATATACAGGTAAACTTTATTCTTGTTTTGAAGAACTATAGGGGGGACTAAAGATCATGATTACATTTTCAAAATAATGAAGCAAGTTAATGGTGTGGAGAAGGTTTTGCACAAAACTAGCATAAGAGGAAAAGAAAGTGACAAAAAGTCCAGGAAGGACCCTGAATTGAAACCAAGCAAAGTGCCATAACCCAACTTTGGGTCCAGCAGCAACTCCAGTGATGGGCTAATAGAATGAAGTCGGACCCATAAGAGACTGGAGTGAATCTAAAATTTTAACACTCCATTCATTGTGTTTTTAATGTTGACAAAGCTCATGGCTGCTCACTTTGACACAGCTGTACACTGACTACATCAGATATGACTAGTTTGCAATAATGTGGTAGCATTAGAAATCTGAATTAGAAACAGTGGTTCCAGATTAGTTTAGTTTAAATTAAGTTAAGTATCTTCAGTTTGAGTATTGTGCCATGATGAATAAATATCCCAAACTGTGTTCAGCTTGGCCTTAAGCTGAGACCTGAGTGTTGTGTGAGGTGTGACACAGTTTGATGTCTTCTTCCCACAGGCACAAGATCAAAGTGAAAGATTGCAGCATGAAACCAAAGGTTCAGTCTTGCGGGCAGCCAGCAAGCATGAAGTAGATATGGAGGAGGCACCACCTATGTCGGATGCTGATGTACGTATAAAACTTGAAATGAACCTAAAAAAGCCCTCGTCTTTTCCTACTCTTCAATGGATGCTTTGCCTGCTTCGTCATTCCTAATCAGTGATACCCATTGCAGGTTTAAGCAGCTCTTTCAGTATTTCGAGGTGTTTTGTGACAAACTGATATGTTGCTACAGTCGTCACCTCCTGTGTACAAAATGCACATTTTCAGCCCTGCATTTCACAATTTCACCATATCTTTGTTAGTCTTCCCTCTTCCCTCTCAGTAAATGTGATTGTTAATACTAATGTGATTGGCACAATTATTCACTATTTCTCAGAGTTAGCCACTTAAAAATTGTTGTGTCTCTGAAGAAAGCATTTAAAATTCCTATCCTTTTGCCTAGGAACCGCAGAGGAGGATTCTGTTTGGGTGCATAACCACCAAGCCTGTGATCTTTGAACTTATTTTTCAGAGGTGAAGCACTCTTGAGTCCTGATGTGTCTCATTTTTTTTGGGATTGGAAGCTTGTCCCCAGATGACCAACCCGTAGGTTTGTCAAAGCTCCAAACTCATTTTGTTAAAATGATGAATTCCTCCACACTTTTGCTGATTTTGGTATAGCAGCTTGAGGGAAAAATTCTACTTAAAATCAGAATCTAACAAAGCTGCCCACTTGAGATTTATTCCCTCCATGTACATTCTCATCTTCTCTACCCACCAAAAGCCTCAGCTTTGTTCTATTTTGTTCAGATATCTGTCTGTCTCTTTCTGCCTTGTAGTCATAACTAGATCACTGCTGTGCAAGTGCAGACTCTCGGGCTATTAACTGTTGTCAGTCTGCCCAAGTAGGGTACATGTTTGATATGTTATAGTGTCAACTTTATTTATTGCCTAAATCTGTAACATCAAGGCTAGTGGTCCCAACCTCCGTAGTGACTGCGTAGGCAAAAGGCATAGAATTTGACCGAGACCTGACCAGAACTGGGAAACCCAGGCTCAGACGCATGGTAACATTGACAACTTTAAATGTAGATCAAGCTATAGTGGAGCAGGAAATTGATGATTAACCAGTGTATTTCTATGTAAGATCTAAATTACGCAGGGAGAAGAAATGATCAAGTTCATGTGATGTGGGTTTGTACCTGGCTCCTCCTCAGTTTAAGGTCCGAGGTTACAGGCTGGTACTTGGGGATCAATCAGGTGTTTAGCAATAATTAGAAACAGGACAACCATTGTTTTTTATATCTAAAGGTAAGACTTTGATTTACAATCATGCAAAAGCATGTCAGGCTGTGCCATCTGAATGTGGTGTGAGTATCATAAACTTGAATTATGTCTAAGTTTCTAACTAAAATCTCAACTTTTATACATAATATCTTAGTGATAATTTAAGTGAACACTTCTGTTAACATTCATTTAAGCAGACATCAATAGAAGATTCATAGATTTGGTAAATGTTGAATCTCTGGAGTTTGTTGTACAACAACTACATGCATTTATGTAGGACCTTTAATGTAGTAAAACAACTCAAGACACTTCATAGACGTATAATCAAACATGTATGGACACTGAGCCAAAGAAGGAACCAATAGCACAGGCAATCAACACTTAATCAGGGAGATGGATTTTGAGTAGCCTTTTAAAAGAGCAGAAAGAGGGTTGGGATTAGAATTCCAGTGGCTGCCTTCTAATCCACTTGCTGCTTCTTATATTTAATCCGCTTTCTATTATGTTCAGTTCACGTCATTCTCTCCCAGGAAGGTTGATCACTTCATCAGTGTGTTAGCTTATTCTGCCTTCTCCATTTGTGCTCTGCCCTCTTTCTCTTTTCTCTGGTTACTTGCTACAGTTGTCTCCAGTAATTTGTGTGTGAATTATACTGAAGTAGTGCCTCAGTTTCAAAATCATAGTTTTTATTATAATTGCCGGTCGATTTACTTGGAAAATATAACAGTTCATATTTAACTCTTTGACCCTTTGTACAACGATGAATCAATGAATAAAATAATTGATTTATAAAAGATAATTCAAAAGTTATGTCAGCATGTTACACAGGATGCACATATAAGTAGTTAGCTTCTAATTTGTATAATCAAATTTTGGATTTTAAATTTCTTACTGAAATAATTTGAGTTTTGCCAGCCAATGATGGTTTTTGTCCTTTTTTGAAAAGTTGGAATAGTAAAATTTGGACTGTAAGGAACGATCATTGGAAATTCTGTGCAATAATATTTCTAACATTCCGTCTGATTCATTAGTGCATCATTTGAACCATTGGCTCATATTGAGGCACAATAGGGAAAGGGCATTAAAAAGGAAAAACCAGACACAACTACTTTGGTTGGAATAAATCGATATCAATAAAGGTAAACTATTGCTGGTTAGTGCCATAGAACGTCACCCCAACCTCATGCTTTCAAACAAAATGAAAGCCCTGAAACCAAGGGACAAAATAGGGGAGGTAGGAGTCATCAAGTAGGAGATTTCAACTTGCTAGAAATTAACTGTCTCTGCTAATAGTGAGACTTGAATTTCTAGAATCAATGAAAGAAAGTTTTAAGACATAGTTTTACATTGCAAGGTTTAAAGTGATTATAAAAATTCACGCTAAGTTACTACATTTTAAGAGAACCAACTTTGTGCTTTGGCTGCCTCATTGGTGTGGCCTGGCAGGTTTGAATATGACTTGGATATTGGAGGGTCTACGAACTTCCTTCAAGGTGGTACTGGATCAGTGTGCACCCTGCAGAGTAAAGTTGCCAAGTTTAAATGTGGTTCTGTCTGATTGAACAACTTTGGTAAGCAACACACAAAAGGAAGAAAGAAAGCATGAAAGGCCAGGAAGGAAAAATGCATCAATCCGAAACTGATTCAAACACAAAAAGTCAATGACAAAGACAAATTTTGAATTGAATAAAGCAACAGGAATGAGGCTTTTTTTTAAGATGTAGGAGAAAAGAAAAACAAGTAATTGAGTAGACCCTTAAATATAGGATCAGGCATAACAACTAATGTTATTCAGGTTCGCAAAGGCCTAAGTAAGTATTTTGCTTTAGTTTTTACTGAGCAGGAAACCGGTAACTTAAATTATCTCCAGAGAGAGCCAAGGGATGTTATTGAGCTAAGTTCTGACACTAGTCCTATCACTAATCAGCTGTGGGAATTTAAAATGATCAATCTGTCTGAGCAATAAAATTCACACAAGAATCCTTGTAGAAACTCTGGCACAGATCTTCCAGAAAGATGCTTGAGGATGAAATGGAAGGCAAATGTTAATCTTTTTTAAAGAGGTAGCAAATATGACTCTGGAATCTATAGACCCTTGCACTTGCCTTCCATGGAAACTCATTAAAGATAACATCATGCAGCATCAGGATAGAAATAGTGTAATGAAACATTAACCAAAACAGGTTCATGATAGGGAGGACAAAGTGAACGCATTGGCTGATTTTTTTTTTTTTTTTTTTTTGAAGACCTTGGGAGCTTGATGGGTGTGCACCAGTAGATGTGGTACACCTGTATTTGATCAGCTTTTTATGGAAAGGCTGGTACTAAAAATAAAGCAGTGGAAATATTTGTGCTAAGTACGTGAAAGGATGGTTAGAACAAAAAGTAGTCTGGTAAAAATGAAGACTGAGTGCATTGCCACCTCCAGGAAAAAGAAGTAAGCCAAACAAAGTCAAATGTTTGATTTGAGCAGTTCGCTTCCTCCTTAGTTGGCTAATGCTTTTTGGAATAGTGTTACAATCATGTCGGCAGTGAAGTGCAGATAAAAATAACTGTGCTTTATTAGAACAGTTATTAACTTCATTCCATTTTGTTGAAGATTTTTATCCTCTGGACAGTTCATGTGAATACTAGTTTAAAGTGGAGAATCAACATTTATACCATATGAGAGGACAGTGGTGATCAGTTGGCAGTTAGACTCTGATTGGTAGAGGCATTGCCATGGAGAATGTGCCAGTTCATGATGACATTTAATGGCAGGTATTGTTTAAACTTTACACCAGGCAGATGGACTGTGTTCAAGGCATTGGCTTAGAACTGAACCAGCAGATAGCTGTCACCTATTTCAATGAATTGAAACAGGTACAGTGCATGTACATGTTCGTTCTGAATGCAAAATACAGGGTCCTGTGTATTAATATATGTAGCTTACAGTACATGCAAGTGTGCTACATTGCAAACTGGAGTGACGCTCCTAAATTGGTTGTCAGCACAATACTTCCACACTCTAGAACATCCAACAAATGTTGTTTAAATACATCATTACATTTAAAGTTGGACATTGTATTTGAGTTTTGCAAGTGGGGTGATTGGTTACAGTCATCACCTTGCTTGTTGCAAACAGCCAATGCGACGTGATTTTTGATACGATCTGCTAGTCCTTGGGACATCCATACCTGGCATTGACACTGAAATTCATGTATCATGTGATTCATTTGTGTGATGGGCAGGAAGTCTTTTGTTGGCTGTTATGTCATTCATTATTAACTGATGTGTTCTCCATGACTACAACTCTACCAATCCAAGACCACTTAGCAACCAATCAGCACTCTTTTCTCATACAGTATATGAATTAGTTTTATCCTTAAAATTGTATCCTTGCAAATTGTGCTGATGAGTGCAAGATGAAAATATTTGGCAAAATGTCTGTCTTTGTCTTTTTTTCAACAATACTCAAGTTCATCCCTTCATGCTATTCCTCCCTTTTTAGGAGTTTTGGAACACCAGAAAAGGAGCAGATGTCTTGAGATTTCTTTGCAATGTTGATGATCCTTACCTTTGCATCATAAGCTTACTAATGTGCTGTTACCCTTAATGCTGTTGCATAACAACCATATCAATCTCAATTCTGAAATTTTCAAATTACAACCAGCCTCTCAGCTATTAAGGGAGAGTTTCAAATTTCTACTTCCCTTAGTGTGCGGGGATTCTGCCTGGCTCATCCATGACTGGCTTGATGTTTAATTTTAAAGCTGTTCTCCTTATTCTTAGATTTCATCCCATCAAAGGAAATAGTCTGC